GGGGGCGGAGTCAGTGCCTGAAGGTGCGAGGCCCGTGGAGGCCTGGGCCGGACTGCGCGCGGTCCGGGTTGCAGGTCCTCCCATCCTTGCCTCCCCACGCTCCGCAGGCCTCATGACTCCCGCGGAGTACAAGAAGCTGGAGCAGCTGAGCCTCCCCCACAACATGTTCTGGGTCCCCTGGGTGTGGTTTGTCAACCTGGCCATGCAGGCCTGGCACAGGGGCCGGATCCGCGACCCGGTGCTGCTGCAGAGCCTGCTGAACGTGAGCCCTCCACCCACCGCGGACTGGGGTGCAGCAGGCCTGGGAGGCCTCACCCCGAGGGTCTGTCCGGGCCTGTGCGGGGGTCTCAGCTCTGCCCACGGCGGGGTGACCCTTCTCTAAAGGAGTCTGTGTGCCCTGGCTCCTTTCCTTTGCCGGAGGAGCCCGAGGCTCAGAGAGGTTTACCAAGCAACGTGTGACCACACAGCAGGGGTGGACCAGACCCATCCCCTGGAGCCAGGGAGGAGCTGGGGGGACCCTGGGGGTCAGTGATCAGATCCTGTCCCCTCCCCAGGAGATGAACATCCTGCGAACTCAGTGTGGACTCCTGTATGGCTACGACTGGATCAGTATCCCGCTGGTGTACACGCAGGTGAGGACCAGCCTGCTGTAGTCCCCCTTGGGCAGCCGAAGCCAGGAGGACCCAGGGAGCAAACATCCTGGGAACTGGGTCTGGACTTTGAAGGCTGCTGCCTGGTGCAGCCCATGGAGGCAGTGTGTGTCCTGTGTCACAAGGGGGTGACATCACAGCAGGCCTGCGCCCCGCCTCGGGTGTCCTGATCCAGCCAGCCCTCTCCTCCCAGGTGGTGACCGTGGCAGTGTACAGCCTCTTCCTGGCCTGCCTTTTGGGCCGGCAGTTTCTGATCCCAGCCAAGGCCTATCCAGGCCACGAGATGGACCTGGTTGTGCCCATCTTCACATTCCTGCAGTTTTTCTTCTACATGGGCTGGCTGAAGGTGAGCCTCTGCGGAACCTGCCATTAGTCTCAGGTGGGGAAGGTGAGGTGTGGGCCCCCACCACAGTCCAGCGCCCATGGTCCCAGAGTTGCACACAGAGCACTCAGCTTGAGGCCCGTGTCTGGCTGAGAAGTGAGCAGGCACAGGAGAAGGCTTGGGCCAGAGCATCTCCCGTGGGGCCTGAGGGCAGGGCCAGGCCATCTTGCTGCCGATCCACTCTGTTAGTGAGACAGAAGCCGTACCTTCATGACCCTGTACCCCTTAGAAGCAGCTCAGGACCCTCCTGTGCCCTATCCTGGCTTATCCAGGTGCTTCCTGCTCAACCAGGACCTAGTGGCCTCCTAGTGGAGCTTCGGGTGACAGTTTTCTCTCTGGCTTCTGTCTTGACTTCCTCCCATCTCTGACCCACCCTCCCTCTGTTCTGTTGTTTTTAAGGGTTTTTTTGGCAGTGGTGGTGGGGGTCTCTTTTGTCCTATGCCCGTGACACACGCACACATGGCTGCTCCCCCTGTCTCCTCCCAGTTACCTTTGCTTTTTTTTTTTTTTTTTTTTTTTTTTTGGG